GAAAATTTTCGGGTATTCAGTTTTGTAGCCCCTTCAATTTTAGTGTAAAAAATTGCAGGGGAAAAGTGGCTACGAAATGTAGTCGACTCATCGCATTTTTTTATTGTCGGTGCTAGGCATTTGCTTCATGTGATGATCCGCCACAAAACTGGAAACTCAAGTTTTTTCTTAAAGGGGAAATTAAGGAGTGTAATATATATAGAGTTAGCATAAACAAAAAAAGTTAAAAAATTTTCGTATTGCAAAAAAGCTGTATGTGCAAGCTTCGTTCGGCTAGTATATTATACTTTTTAAAAATAACGGCTTTTTCGAAAAAATTTACCATTTTCCTAAATAGGGCTAAGAATTTGTGGAGTTTCTGTTGCGTGCTCATATCGCTGTCTTAATATAGAAAAACCTATATCACTTTTTTTAATATTTACGGATTGTTAGCTACCGATGGCTTTTGGGTAAATCTAGATATTGAAACTGTTATGATAATGTTTGTAATTTCAATGTTGGTCAGATGGCAGTGTTTTGTTTCTTTAAGAAAATTATGTAAAAGTTGTTATTTGGCAAACTATATGTTTCGATCTAGGGAGATCGATTTATTTTTTTACGATTTCTTCCTGCATCGATTATTTTTATTTTTATTCGAATCGATTATTTTTTTTAATTTAGATCTAGCATCTCTAGTATGTATAGTAAATATTGAAGTCAGCCTCTGGACGTAAACGATTATTGCCAACGATCGCAGATATTTCCATATACAATTTGACAACAATTTGACTTAACTTTTTCGAGCAATGCACTTGAAATTCGCATTGGTTCATTGGTTTTAATATTTCCTTTATTTCACATTAAATGCATTTGCACTTCCATTTCGCATTTCCTCACATGCTTTCCTCTTCTACGACTCTACTCAATCAACCATACTATGCACGAGTACATATGTACATACAAATGTGCATAAATCACTCATACGACACGTAGTGCATAAAAAATTAAAGCAAAGGAATTTCATCGATATTAAATACTCGCGCAGACATTGTAAAATGCTTAATTTTTTATGTGGTTGCTGTAATACTTGAATTTTTTATGACCGACTGCTTTTACATTTTTATACATTCTTTTTGGCACTTTGCTGATCCATTGGATTTATGTGTGTGTGCGTTCTTCTTCTTCTTATTTTTATATTCTTGCCAATAGAATCATCACGAATTACTTTGTGGTTTCATTGGCTGTGGCTGACATGTTGGTGGCCCTTTTGGCGATGACATTCAACGCTTCCGTAGAGATTACCGGCCGATGGATGTTCGGTGCGGTGATGTGTGATATGTGGAATAGTTTCGATGTCTATTTTTCAACGGCCAGCATCATGCATCTCTGCTGCATTTCAGTGGATCGGTAAGTGGCGCAAAAAAAAAATGCGAAATTTATTATGGCCTCTATATTTTTGAATAATTGCTACTATTTTCAATGCGATGTATTTTTATCGTTGCGCCAATTTTTACCTTACAGATATTATGCGATTGTGCAACCACTCGATTATCCACTGATTATGACACCCCGACGTGTAGTGTTTATGCTGCTAATGGTTTGGATACTACCTGCTTTTCTCTCCTTTTTACCCATCTGTTCCGGTTGGTATACGACAGAGGAAAATTGGAAATATTTGAAAAGTAATCCACACGTAAGTACAACAGCCCTTTATATAAGCACATACATACATTCTTTATATGAGTTTGAGGGAAAATATACCAATTATTTGGAGGTATGAATAAATGTCCACGTGTAATAACAAAAAAGGGATTGTGGCTGTTATATTGAGCCACAACCAATATTAAAAGTATACAGAAGAGCTATGTAAAAATGAAAAGCGCGTGAAAATGGATAGAATGCTCCAGCAGCTTGTCGGTGGTTTACTGTTGCAGCTGCTTGATGCCAACCACCGAGCGAATACATAGGTCATCCATGCCGTATAGAGGCAGCTGTTACACATGCAACCATAATGTGGCATTTTGATTTATGAGTTTGATTTTTCTTGCAAACACTCTCAGTGCATCAAGTAAGTATATGCAGCTTATGCAAATGCATGGAGCGATACACTTAAGAAGCAATACATTAAGGAAGAAATGTATATAGTATAATCCTAAATGCATTACATTATTTGAAACAAAGAGATGCTTTATGGCATGCGCCAGTGTAGACATTAAAAATTGTGTAACTATACATTTAAAAAACTAGGCTATGGATCATCTGAGCAAGATTCGTAGTAACATCTTTTGCTTCCTTGAGTGTTTTTTTTTTATTAGTTTCCGACACACATAAGTAGTTTATATGTAGATGGTCTCAAACTTCAATATGTAATAACGTTAGCTAGGTTGCATACTATATTTCTTTATATCTATAATTCTATAATTCTTGTAGAGACGAAGATAGAAATATGGCTGACCTCTTCGAAGCCGTTAGCGAAGAGGTAGTCGGATCCATGTGCTGTTGGTAAGTGCGATTTAGTCTGATGAATACATCACCGATATTGGAACCTCAGCGCATTTTGCATAGTCCATAAGAAGGGAGATGATCCTTATATTTGCGACCGTTATTGCAGTATAATACTGTGGAACTCAGAAAAATCTAGATTGCGCATATATCAGGTTTAATGGCTGCTTGCCAGTCCAACGCCTTCGTCTTCACCTGTCGATGTGCCGGAGTGACATCCGCTAATTTAAAACGTAGAATATGTGATAAAAATAAGAGCATATTGAGGTTAAAAGCTGTACATTACTTTTGATTTGGTTCGATTGAATTTTGAATCCATTTCAAGGGCTACCCATTTTTTAAACTGGTGGCAGCTCCTTTTAATATTCTTAGTGTTTAAGCTAAATATTTGCTAATACTCCTTCGTGTGACGCCCATATTTTAAAACTTCATACGATAACTTCCTTATAATTTAAAAAAGTTCAGCTTTTTAGAGATGGCAAAATATTAAATATTTTCAACAAAAAATATTTTTCAACTACAATCTTGTTAAACCCTTTGCGTGTGACATCATAATATAAATATATTTAGATTACCTAATTCTGTTAATTCAAATTGCATTTAAATTTTTAAACGGGTGGCAACTCTGCTACATGTGTAAATCTTCAAATTTTTTTCAAACTAAAACGTCTGACTCCCGTATTGTGATGTATAATTACATAATCTGATTGCCTTAATTCAAGCTAAAATTTAGAACAGTTGGCAACCCTCCTACATGTAGTTTAGAAATAAAAGATCTACAAAGCAGTTTTGGTTGTCATCCATATTTAAGTAATTCTTTACATTGAATTTAACTTTGCAAAGAGGTAGCAAATCTCTTTTAAATCTCCACACTCTCTTTCGTCTGACATTTATATCGGGATACATGTTTCAATTTCCGAATCGGCTTAATTTAGGTTTGAACTTTAGCAAGCAATGTAAAAATAGAGTTCCTTCAAGGCCATTTTAATTGACATCCATATCGTAGTAATTGGTTTAACCTATTGCATATATTGAATTTAACTTTGTAACCAGGTTGCAACCCTGTTTAAAATAATTTCAAACGAAAACCTTTTTAATCCTATTTGATCCGACACCCGTATTGCGATATACCTCCCTCCCTGCCTCTTGAAGCCAGGGAGTGACGTTAGTTTATATGTACCTATCTTTAGTCTGCTTGCGTGAAAAAAGCTAACTACTTTTGTGGAGCGATGGCCGCAAAAGAGTCAGACCTGGATACCTCTGCATTACATATCAACTTACTTGTAACTAGCTACTTTTGAACATAAAATATCAACCAAAAACAATTAATTTTTTATTTATTTGATTATTTTTTCTTTAATTTACATTCAACTTTGCATATTTGTTCATTTGGTTACATACTCTGCAACAAGAGATATATAGCCAGAGCTGGGTAAATGCAATTACATTACAATTACAATTGCATTCCTCA